CTACCACTTTGTTTTTAACTCCGTACTGTCTGTACTGTTCCTTTGATAATTTGTAAAATGTCTGTCTGTTAATATTTTCCTCATTTTAGTTTATAATAAAAAATAAAAATAAAAAAAGAAAAGCATTCCTTCTAAAATCAGGAACAAGATGAGGATGTTCAATATCACCACTTCTGTTCAATATAGCACCAAAATATTAGCTAGGACAATCAGGCAAAATAAAGAAATAAAAGAGATACATATAAGAAAGGAAGAAATCAAGTTATCTTTATTTACAGATGTCATGATACTCTACATATAGAAGACTCAAAGAATTCCACCAAAAAACTTTTAGAATTAATAACCAACTTCAGCAATGTAGCAGGATACTAAATCAACACAAAAAAGTCAATAGCATTTGTGTGCACCAATAATGATCTCAATTAGGAGGAAATTATGAAAATAATACCATTCATGGTAGCATCAAAAAAATGAAATACCTAGGTATTAAAATAACCAAGGAATTGAAAGAAAGACTTCAACAAAGAAAAGTGCAGTACTCTTAAAGAGGAGATTGGAGAGGAATCAGAAATTGGAAAGATGTCCCCTGCTCCTGGATAGGCAGAATCAATATTGTCAAAATGGCCATACTGCCAAAACTGTTATATAGATTCAATGTAAGCTCAATAAAATACCAACAACATACTTTAAAGACCTAGAGAAAACAACCTTAAAATTCATGGAGCAGAAGAGATGCAGAATAGCAAAAGCAATCTTGGGCAACAAGAACAATGCAGGAGGCCTCACAATACCTGACCTCAAGCTACACTACAAATCAACAGTAATAAAAATGGCATAATATGAGAACAAAAACAGATACATAGATCAGTAGAACAGAATAGAGGATACAGAAATATACCAGACAAATTCAGCTATCTGATCTTTGATAAAGGGGCCCAAAATGTACACTTGAGGAAAGATAGTCAACAAATGATGTTGGGGAAACTTGAGATCACTTATAGAAGCTTTATACTGAACCCATATCTCCACCATGTACCAAACTAAAATCTAAATAGATCGTAGATCTAAACATTAAAACAGAAGCATTGAACATACTGGAAAATAAAATAAGTAAAACACTTCAAGCCATAGGTGTAGGAAAGGATTTCCTAAACAGAATGCAATTGTGCAAGAAACAATAGCAGAATCAACAAATGGGATTACATCAAATTAAAAAGCTTCTGCATGGCAACAGAATTGATTAGTAGAGTGAAGAGACAACCTACAGAATAGGAAAAAAATTTGCTAGCTACTCCTCAGAGGACTAATATCTAGAATATATAAAGAACTCAAAAGAATTAGACTGCCTAAAGTAAAAGATCCAATCAGGAAAAGGGCAAGTGAAATGATCAAATACTTCTCAGAAGAAAAAATGTGAAATGGCCAACAAATATATTCAACATCTCTGGCTCTGCATCTCGGGGTGAAAAGGACATGCCCTTACCCTTCTGGGATGTTATTCATTGTGTCAATTTGAGAAGTTTAGAAGGTTAACTATGTGATTCAGCAGGGAACCAGGGTACTTACTTTGTATTCATCCTGAGCCTGTGCAAGAGGAGGGTGTGGAGATTAAGTGAGTGCTACACACCTCCTGGGTGGGGGGAGCCTGTTTATAATGTAAGGGAGAGAAAAAGGCTCCTCACCACCACTCTTCACTTTTTCTCTGGCTATTTGCTGTGTTCCACTGCCATGAACTGTAGCCCTCTGCCATGTGCCACTTGCCTTGGAACCAGCCAAGTATGGACTGAAACCTCTATAAACTGTAAGCTAAATAAATCTTTCCTTCCTTCATTTTGGGAGTCAGGTATTTTGTCTCAGCAATGAGAGAAAAGTAATCAAGACACTGGCCATTAGGAAATGCAAATTAAAACAACACTAAAATTCCATCTTACACCACAACCATTATGGAAATCAGTATGAAGATTTTGCAAAGAACTAAAATTCGATAGAATCCAGCTATCCCCATTCTAGGTATCTTTCCCAAAGAGCTTAAGATATTATACTACAGTGATTCATGCACACCAATGTTTATAATAGTACAATTCATAATACCTAAATCTTGGGACCAACCTATATATCCATCACAGATAAATGGATAAATAAAATGTGATATCTATATATGTATAATGGAATGCTACTTGGTTATAAAGAAGGACAAATTTGAAACAGTTGTGGGAAAAGAGATACACCTGGAAAATACAATGTTGAGTGAAATAAATCAGACACACAAGCTTAAATATTGTATAGCATCTCTAATTTGAGTAAGGCAAAGTACAAAGAAAGAGTACAATAAAGGAAGAATAGAAGGAGACAAGGAGATAGACCTTTTGCAAGTGGGAAGGGGTCCAAGAGAACATAGGTGAAAGGAGAGAGTAAAGGAAAGGAGAAATAAATAAAATGAAGATATGTCACATACAGGAACCTAAAAATGACAATGAATATAAGCACTGTATGCCATAAACATGAGCTAAGATTAATAATATGAACCAGAATGAGAATAGGGAAAAGGGATTTAAAGGAGGAGGGAAGAGGAAGAAGATTTTTTAAAAAGAATTAAGCTGTGGTATGTACATGTACCCACTCCCCAAGATGTCTGTAAGGTGCAGAGTACTGCAAGTATGAACTAATAAAAAAAGGGAAAGAGAAATAAAGACTTCCTCAGATAATGAAACAATAAAATGAAAATGTGAGTAAATTGGAGGCCAGAAGCCCTGCCAGGAAAGAAATGTTAAAAAAAAAAAAAAAACTCTTCAGAAAATGGTAAGTCAATTGAATCCTTAATGGGTATGCACTACAGAGTGTAAAATCACTCAAGGCAAAGTAGAACTTCAAATCCAAATAGACATATCAACTAATATATGTAGAAATTTCAACCTCTGAAAGTAGACTCATCCACAGGCCAAAAATCAGTGAGGATATGACAGAATTAAATAGTATCACCAATAAAATGGACTGAATTGTAGGGTATTTTATCTACAGCAGCAGAGCACACATTCTTCTCAAGCTTACATGGAATATTCACCAAGACTCACTAGGTTCTGAATCATAAAACATAACTAAATGTATGTTTTAAATGCAAAACAATATTCTTTAGAGAACAATGGGAGGCAGACACAGAGCTAGATGGACAATTCGTGGGAAACAGGGTCTCCCAATCCACTTCCTCTAAGTGGCTGTTGCTTTGTCAACAGTGACGCCTCCACACCCTCTCCTGTGCTATTTCCAGGGAGGCTCAATTGCTAAACTGCTTTTGCCTCATGCTAGCACCACCTTCTACTCAATCCCCTTCTATCCTACGTCAGAAATAACCACCAGTCCAGAATGCATCCCTGTTTTCTTAGTCTCATCCTAGAATGCTCTGGCTGGAATGTGACCTTAACAAAGTCCCTTCTTTCCCCACTTTGCTGACATTTGACTCCTACTGCTCCTCTGGCACTTGCTGTCTCCCTGCAAGTCAATGAATCTGACTTGTCTGACTAGGTTTGTGCTTCAAAGTTTTTGAGTTATTAAAAGTTTGTAAAGGCAATGCAATTTACTGATAATGCTAAACTTATTTAAGGTATGAAACCGCTTTTATTCTGCAGTAATACTATTTTACCTCTTTTGGTAACAGTGCCTTTTAGTTTATAAAATAATTGTAAAATTTTATTTTTGTGAGTATATTAAAAATAGAAAGCTTGACAGTCCTATTTAGACTAAAAATGGTTTTGAAATTTTAATAGTTCATGAAAATTTCAGTATCTATGAGGCACTGCTACGACGGGGAAAAGGAGAAAGAAGGAAGGGAAAAAATATATATATATATACACAAGATAGCTAAGATATTTGCACTATTAGTTTCTATTACTTCACTGAAAGGAAAAGTGCTTACATTATTTGATCAATTTTGTATGCCTATATCTGGTAATCTGAGCAACTACTTTGAAGAAAACAATTTGCAATATAATAACCATTATTTATTTGTTATCATTCTGTTTTGAAATTCTGTATCATTTTTACAGGTTTCTTTTATTCTCTTCAAAATAAAACAAAGAAAATAAATTGGAAAAGCAATACATGAAGCTCAACAAGGTGGTATACCCATAATCTCAGCTTCTTGGGAGGCTGAAGCTGAACAGCAAATTCAGATAAAACTAGGCACCTGAGCAACTAAGCAAGATTTTGTCTCAAAATTAAAAAAAAAAAAATTTAAAGCATAGGTACGTTGCTCAAGGTCCTGAGTTCAATCTCTGGTACTGCAATCAATAAATTAATCAATCTATTAAAAAAGCAACCGAAAATGATAAAAAAAAAAAAGGAAAAAAAATGTGTAAAGGGTATTATGAAAGTTTAAGGGGGAACACTTAAAATAACATCCTTCATCATTCACCAAATTAATTTCCAGATATTTTTCTTCTAACCTAGATTTCAAAAATTGTTAAACCATTGAAAAGGAAGACACTAAACAAAACAAAAAAACTGTCCAAACAGTAATGAATATGTTAGAAGGACAGAAGGAAAAAACTGAAACAACAAAGTTTCTTTAATTTCAGCATCCAGAATGTGGATGACTGTGTTCTCATCAGGCCTGGTTTCCAGTGAAACCCATCTTCAAACACAGTATGGTACCCTGGGATTCCTCACTACAGCCACGACTCCGACAGTGAGAGAGGATATCTGAAGAACATAAGACCCTGACCCCAATTCTGCAGTGGCTAGGGACCGTCTGTGCTTGCTGCTGATCTGAACATTGGAATCTTGGGCCCAGACCATAGTGACCATGCTTACAGACAGGTCTTGCAGAGGAATTAGAGAATCCTCTGCTCGCTGGAAATCTCAGGCTATGAAGTGGAGATGCAGACTTTCTAAGAACAACAAAGAAAGTACTAGAAAGGTAACCTTTAGACTGGTCTAATAAAGCCTGAGAGCTGGGAACTCAGATGATAAATTCTTGAAATAAGTACTAGGAGGCCAGCACTCACGTGGTAACAGTGTTGAAGCCGCAGGCCTTCAGCTTCAGCAGGCGGTCCCTCCAGTACTCCCTGGGCACCCGGAAGTAGTGGATGGTGCCTGCTAAAATCAGGAATGGGGAGCCTTCTAGTGTGAAGTTTGAGCCCTCAACTTTGAGACCCACCCTTCGGCTTTTCAGGTGGGAGGGTGTCAGGTGAGTTTGATTAATCCTGTAAGGACAAAGGAAGTACATGAAGTCCTAGATACACAGGCTGGGCAGATCTGAAAGGCTTTTCCTTCAGTGCTTTAAGCATCCCTTCTGGGGAAAGAGAACTCTTCATAGCCTTTCCTTAAAACGTACCTGGGTTGCTGGTCATGGCCGTGCTGAGCCATCACTGATAATGCTGAAGACAGGCACAGGATACAGTCAAGTCTCACTAGGAAGGTCCCCATGCTGACAGGATAGAATAAGAGTCAGAGAGATGCAGGGTTCAGGGAGGGTAGCTGGGAGCTGAGAGAAGCTTGCTGTATGGTGAGGATGACCAAGGCACCCCCGCTGAAAAGGTAAAATTTATTTTATAGTCCTTTGCATTACCTGGAATCACAATACCCAAGGTCACATCTACTTACTGGAGGGAGAACCGCTGCATAACAGAGTTGCCTACTAAACTCCTGAATTTTCAGATACAACAAAAGTTGTATTACACAATGAAGAATAATCTCTGGGAAGGTTGTCAGAGACGCGCAACCACTAAGGAATGAAGTCTAACCATCCGCTGCCTAGCATAGAACATAATCGGAGATAGGAGAAATTCCTGCACAGAGGGTCCCAAACCTTATCTCCAAACCGACTCTGCACTTCCTTGCTATAATGGAACATCATGCTGTGAATTTGCAGAGCACAGCGTTCTTGTGGCCCTAATTTTCTTGACTCTCCTCACTCTGGGGCAAAAACTTGTTTCTTCCTATATCAAAAATTGTATGAATCCAGGATGGACTGCATCGATGCAGTACTGAAAGTTGGATGCCTCCCCAGCTCATACAGCAGTACCTAAATCGATAATGGCCACGTTAAATGACTGCTTTAGCACTTCAGTTTATCTTTTTTGCTTAACAGGTATCATCTGTTAATAGGTTCCCTGTGATACTTGAAAACATGCATGCACTGATCAAATTCAGTCCTCCAAATTCACACACCCCAAACTCTGCTAATCACTGTTCTACATTCAAATCGGCGTTTTTTTCCTCTCGGTAAATGTTTTTTGAACAAATATGATTTGCCAGAATCACTAAAACTACCTGACCTACATATGACTCCGTTTTACCATTAGGCTTAAAGTGTGTTAGGTTGGGTAGAGTCGTGATAAGCAGAGTTTGGGGATTACATGGCCCAGTATTAAGCAAAACAGACCGGGAAAGCGGCTCCAAGGAATTCTGAGTGGCTAGCTCGCCTCTTCGGACGCTGCCGCAGACTCCTGGGCGGCAGCAGTCAGAGGGCACAGAGCCAAACCTCTAAGGAACGGAGAAAGGCATGGCCCGGAGTGCCAGGGGAAGGAGACCTCCCTAAAAGCCCCAGACCTCCCTAAAAGCGCCAGGTCCAGAGCGCCAGAGCCAGCGCCACCTTCCATGGGCCACGCTCCCTCTCCTCCCCTAGACCCGTGACGCCCCCACCCAAAGGGGGCCGCGCCGCCTATCCGCGTCCACCGGGCCCGCACCCCACCACGGCTAAGTGAGACGCCGCTCACTGACCTCCAAAGTGCACGACGTCGCCTGCTGGCCAGCCGGCAGCTCGCGGGTCCGCGCACCTCTGTACGTCCGGGAGACCAGCGCTGGGCTGCAAGTGGGTGGGCCCGGGCTCCAACACGCCCACCTACAGCTCCCAAGCAGTGCAGCGGGAGAGCTGGGGCTGCAGGGACCCTCAGCTCCCCATGCAAAAAGAGAGCTCTAAATTAGACCTTAATTTAACACCTATGGGGGCGTGGTGATGCTCCCTTCAGCTTGCGGGATGGGCAGGACCCTTGCAAACCCCTTGGCCCAGAGTGCGGCTCCGGAGAACATTGTCTCACCTAGATTTTACATAAGGCAGATCCAGGTTCCAAAGAAAGTGAAAGTCCCCTCTTTTTAGCAAACTTCTCTGGATCTGAAAAGAAAACAAAAATCCTTTTTGAAATCCATCCACCAATAGACTAACTTCTTCCAGAGGCAGCTTGGCCTGCATTATTTATCTCTCTTTTGCATGGGGCTGTATTTTCCAAGTTGACTCCTGACTAAATTCTGATTGTGCATCTTCTACTTCCTCTGCCTCTGCCATAAAGAAGGTAAAAGTTTATTTAACTGATGTTTAGGAAGTTTTATGATGGTTTCTTTGTTCTATGTTGCTTTTCCTGATTGTACAGCTCTACTCCCCTCACCCCACACTCCGCACTGCCTTCCTCGTGGGAATTGAATACAAGACCTTCGCACTGAGCTATATCTCCAACCCTTATTTCTTATTTTGAAATAGGATCTCACTAAGTTGCCTAGTTCTGCCTCAGCCTATCAGTACTGGCATTATAAGTGTGTACCACTATGTCAGGTTTTGTTTATTTAAACTTCCTTCTATTCTGTGCTTTTTAGACCTCTGGTTTTTTTCTTAGCACTGTTCTTGAAGTACTACAAAAGCAAAACTTTCTAAAATTCACTCTAGTAGTGGAATTTGACCATTTCTGTGATTTTACCAATTTACAACTATTATGTTACTTGAGTTATTTCCCTACAACTTCTTTCCTACCTGCTATTATCCACAGGTTTTTATACTTAAATATTTGATTCATCAAGAGTTTATTTTAGAAATGACTACCAGATTATTCTTAAATTTAATTCTTGCCTCATTAATTTGAAAGCAAACATTTGTCACATACTAAATCACTGTGTACACTTGTGCTTGTGTCTGCATTTTGTGTTTTATTCCATTATTCTATCTACGCCAGATCCAACATGTAGTGAGCATTTAGCCCTGGCCAGACACAGTTCTAAACTCAGGTTCACTCATTTATCATCCTAATCCACCTACTTGATAGGTGATCTTATTAAATTATTAATTATTAAATTAATGAATATCTATTTAAAACCTACTACATTCCAAGCACTGCCATGCACACTGATAATGTAAAATTTAAAATACAGTATACCTCATAATAATACCCCCTTGTGGAGCTTTCCATTCTAGTGTGGTAGACAACAGAAAGGATCAATACTGGGCTGGGGATATAGCTCAGTGGCATAAGTGCTTGCCTGGCATGCACAAGTCCTGAGTTCGATTCCCAGTACCAAAAAAAAGAAAGGATCAATACTTAAAACTTACACTGTGTTATTTGGTCGTAGGTACTGGCGGGAAAGAGTAGAAAAGAATAAGAGAAGAGTGTGTGTCTAGAAGAGACTATTTTATTTAGGGGCCGAGGAGCATCCGGTGCAACACCTCCCAAGGATGACCTATGAGTAAAAGGCTGTAGGAAGTAAGGGGTGAGTCATTATAGTACAATAGTGAAAAGCCCCTCAGGCATAGGGAACAGCAAGAACCAAAGCCCTGAAGCAGAGACCTGTTGGTAAGTCTGAGGAAGAGGCAGACTTAAAGGTCAGGCATAAGTGCCAGGTAGGAGGCTGATAAGATCAGATAGGTTAATGAGGGGTCCAGATCATGCAGGCCCTTGGACATCAAAGCCAGCACTTTAACTCTTGCCCCAGAGATAGCTGAGAAACCACTCAAGGGCTCAGGCCTAGGAATGGCTTGTTCTGACTTCCATGGAAACAGTCTCAGTACCCAAAGCAAGTATGAAAGAGACTTAGTTGTAATAAGATGAGAATTGATAATGGTTTGGATCGGGGTAGGAGCAATGTAGGATAGTGTAAGGTGGTTAAATTCTAGACACATCTAAAGCTGTACAGGAGCAAAGGATATGAAGTCAAGGATGTCTCTAAGACTTTTTTATTGAGTTGAGAGAAAATGGTATCTTATTTCTTTCTTTTTGCTGAGACAAAATACCCAACACTGCAAGTTAAAGGAGGGTGTAACAAATGATGTGAGTCAGAGACCATCTGACAGGCCTATGTGAAGGAAAAGAGGTACAAGGTTTAATGTACCTGGATACAGGCAGAGGGCAAAGAGACCACCCATGGGGAACAAGAAAAGTGGGGCATTTGAGGGGACACTTGAAAAAGCAAGGTGAGGCGATCAGGTGAGGTATCATTTAAGGGGTCTGGCAGGGGACATCATGTGAGGAGGTCTGAGCAAACATCATTGGTCAAACTTCTCAGAGCGTTTGGTGCAAATGTATGGCCATTATCAGATGTGCTGGTGCTGGGAAGTTTCTATGGTCTGCCTTATCTGTTCTTTACGACATCCTGTCATGTGTTTGCCAAGGGCAACACCTGTGCTGGGCTGCAGTTTTTGCTGAGAACAATGTGGCTACTGAAAAACAGGTTGGATGCTGGTAAAGACATGCCCAAGTTGCGTCTGACAGAAGGAAGGTTTATTTGGCTCACAATTTATAGAGGTTGCAATCCATAGTCAGCTGGCTCCAAGGCAGGGTGACATGGCAGAGGAGAAACAGTCCATGGCAAAGCAGGACAGGCAGAAGGCAGCAAAGAAGCAAAGTAACAATCAGTTTCTTTCTGTCCCTTCATAATCCATCCATGTTACCCTCCTTTGGGTGGTACTACTCACATCCAGGGTGGGGCACCCTTAATCCTGGCATCATACCCTTAATCCTAGCATTACATACTCTAATCCAGCTGCCTTCAAAACTCCCCACCTATGACCACATGAGGTTTGAGGGACATCTAGATACAGGCCATAACAGATGGAGTTGGTTGAATAGAGATGGCAGCAGGAACTATTTGCTTATGTGGAGCTGAGCACAGCTATTAGACATTCAAGTAGAGTGTGCTGTGTGAACCTGTAAGTCACAAGCATATAATTGGTATTATGAAAGTCATAAAACCAGATTAATGACTGCCTTAGGGATCAGTAAAGATATCCCAGAACTAGGTCTGAGGACTGAGCCCTGGGAGACTAGGCAGATGAGGAAAAAACTAGATAAAACACAAACAAAAGGGAATAAATGTGTAAAACTCTTTTTTTTTTTTTTTTTTTTTGCAGTACTTGAGATTGGACACTGAGTTACGTCACCAGTGCTTTTTTTACTTTTTCTTGTGAGATAGTTTTGCTAAGTTACCCAGGCTGGGTTTGAACCTTTGATCCTCCTGCCACAGCCTCCCAGAACAATGGGATATATAAGACTTGTGCTGTGAGGATTGTGCCCTAGAAGCCCAGTGAAAGGCAAATGCTAAGAAAACTGGAATAAACTCTATCAAACTATTTGAGAATCCCAAAAAAGGAAATAGTAGAACTGATACTTGAATTTAACTACATAGGTGCATTATAAAGGAAGTTCAACTGAGTGGTAAGGGTGAAA